TTGATAAGTGTTTGACTTGGTCAACAGATGCAGTAAATGCATTATGCAGATTTTGATTAACACAAAAACTTGGAAATTTGACCTTGATTAGCTGAGCAATTTTCAATTGACTATAGTTAAAATAATTTTCAGGAACGAATTAATCGATTAATCAGCAAATTAACCTATTAATTTGATCTTTAATATTAGGTTTGAAAATGCAACGAGTGAAATAATCGATTAATACATAAAAAAATCGATTATTTACTGCGATAAAAGAATTTAATAAAATGATAACGAGAATTTTAATTGATTAAAACAAAGAAGAATCGATTATATTTGACCTCTTAGTGGTTTTAAGCTGATATAAATTCTTTTTAATCGATTAAAACAGACTAAACTAAATTCCCGAGAACATTTTAATCGATTAATTCGTATTTTAATCGATTAAAATTGTACGGACAACTTTTTTGGTATTCTCTGTAAGTGAATTTAATCGATTAAAATAGTTTTATATAAATTAAAATACACGAGTCCATGAATCCAAAATCAGAATTTGCTGATTTGATACCAAGGGACTTCCAGATTTTGTTCCTACAAAACAGATTTAACATATTTCTGGTACCCTTTTTTTTATAATCATTGGGTCCAATCAGGTTATTTGAAATGAATTTTTGGGAATCCACTTCATTCTACCTCTAGGAATATCATACTTCTTGATTCTACAAAATTTCACTGAATGACCTTTTTTCATACAGTAAAAGCATTTAATAACAGATGATGAGTATGATTTCCTGTTTACATTTATTTTTCTGAATTTCTTGCTAGATGTAAATCCAATGCCATATTTGTCAAAAATAAGTTTTTGTGACCTAAGAAGAACATCAAGATTAGCTTGACCTTGTGTAAACTTTGAAACAGTTTGTGATAAAAAATCAATCTTCTTCTGTAATTCTGAACACTTATTACATGGTTTATTACATACACAGTCAGAATTATCATGGATTAATTTTAAAAAGACAGAATCAGTTTCATCTTCAAGAATTTTATTTTCAAGAGAATCTACTTTATTTACTAACCAATTATTTAATCCTTTTAGCCTATCATTTTCTTTTTGCAGTTTCTTACTTTCTTCATGCATTTCAGTAAACGCTTCTTGTAATGAATTATAATTCACCAAATTTGAAGAAGAGTTAGAACTTACACTGCTGGTTTGATGATTCTGATTTGCCATTAGACACAAGTTAGCTTCTTCATTATCAGAATTCTTTGTTGATGAGGTATCATTATCATCCCATGCTACATATGCTCTTCTTGTGACTTTTTCTTCTTTCTTATCATTGTATTTGTTCTTTTCTGGGCACTCCATTCTTACATGACCCTGCTTACCACAACCATAGCATTTATAGTTAAAAGAGTCAGATTTCTTTTCATACCTTTTTTGTTTTTCTTTATCTTGGATCTTTTTCTTGAGAAATTTATTGAACTTTCTGACAAGTAGTCCAAGATTTTCACTTTCCTCCTCTGATTCTTGACTTCTTTCTTCAACCTTGAGTGCTATGCTTCTACCTTTTTTCTCAGAGACTTCTTGCTCATTGAATCTGTTAATTTCCATTTCATGTTCTCTGAGTTTGCCAAACAAGGAGGCTGTTGTCATGACTGATAAATCTTTTGATTCTGAAATAGCTGTGACCTTGGGCTGCCATGACCTGTCAAGACATTTCAAGACTTTAATGTTTAATTCTTCTTTATCAAAAGTTTTACCTAAGCCCATTAGATGATTGATGATATGAGTGAAGGCTTCTGCACATCTACAATACTTTCTCTAGTTTGCATTTTGAACAGCTCATATTCTCTTATGAGAGTATGCTTTCTGGCTCTCTTTACATTAGTTGTTCCCTCATGAGTAACCTCAAGAACTTCCCACATTTCCTTGGCAGATTTGCATTGGGAGACCCTGAAAAACTCATCCATATTTAGTGCAGAAGTAATTATGTTTTTAGCAGTACAATCATTTTGAACTTTTTTCTTTTCTTCATCATTTAAACTGGACCATTCTTTTTCTGTAATTAAAGGACCATTAACAATTACATCCCAAACATTCCTATCAATAGATTCAATAAAGATCTTCATCCTAATCTTCCAAAATGGGTAATATGTTCCACAAAACAGTGGAGGTCTATTAATAGAAGCTCCCTCAGAAAAAGGTAATTTGTTTTCAGCCATTTTGATCGAAAAACTTGAATAACTCTCAAGAACCTTGCTCTGATACCAATTGTTAGAAAAAGAGGCTGAGATCAAGAGGGGGGTTGAATTGATCTTTGAAAGATTTTTGCAAATTTTACAGATTATCTATTTCAAAGATTATGATTTAAGACCAGTTCTTGAACCTTGCAGCAAGCAATAAAAAATAAATGCAGTCACAGAATTAAAGAAGAGAAAGGTTTAGAAAGATATCACCAAGGTTTATACTGGTTCACCCAATCCCAGGGCTACGTCCAGTCTCCAGCCAAATTCCAGCTGGGTTCCACTAGATTGAATGTTTTACAGATTACAACCTTAACCTCACACTCAATCTACCACAAGAACCACAATTCCAGTTCCTGCACCTAACCTTTCACCAAGAACCAAATTCCAGTTCTTGACCTACCCTGCAGCCAAATTCCAGCTACAAAAACCAGTGCTCACAATTCCAGGCACTCACAATATAGTAAAAGAAAGTAAAGCAAAAAATAGAAGAAACTAAGAATGCTCAAACTAGTTTTATGCAGTTCTGCAATATGTTGTTTCTTCTCCAAAAGAATGCAATTTTGCCTCAAGAAAGAACTTTGATGAACTTCACAAAAACTAGCGTAATTCTTTCTTGAAAGTATCACTTTTGATTGCTTGATTGATTGCTAAAAGATGTATATCAGATGTGTGTTAAAAGGTTCAAGCCAATCTGTTTTTATAGAAGATTTTCAAAACTGCTGGTTTAATTAATCTGTTAAAATAATCTTTTAATCTGTTAAAAGTCTTGTTTTAATCTGTTAAAACTTCTTTTAATCCATTAAAACGTTATTGATTATTTTCCAGATTTGTTTTAACTGATACGACAATATTTATATCAATTAAAACTCTTTGTAAAAAATCTTCTAATTTGTTTTAATCGATTGTTTCGTGTTTCAATCGATTAAAATACTGCAAGATATTCTTATAAACTTTTTCAAGTGATTTTAACTGATAAAAAATCGTTTTAATCGATTAAAACACTTAGTTCAAGTTTTCTTAAGTTGATTTAATCGATTGAAACGTAGTTTAATCGATTAAAATAATTCTGATCGATCATAACCCAATTCTGATCGATTATATCTGGTTCTGATCGGTCATAACTCAATTCTGATCGATCATATCTGGTTCTGATCGGTCATAAACCCATTCTGATCAGGTCAAACGAGTACATCAGAGTGGTTTTAATCAATTATTTCGAAGTTGTATCGATTAAAATACTGCCAGAACACTTCTCGAACATTTTAAGTGATTTTAATCGGTTATTTCAAAACTGTATCAGTTAAAATACTGACTGAAGGTTTTCAAAACTTCCTTTAATGAAAACAATCGGTTATTTCGAAGTTATATTAGTTAAAACCCTGTTATAAAAGTGTGAAGAACATTTTAGTTGATAAAAATTATATTCTATTAGTTAAAATAGTTGATTAAAAAAGCTTTTGTCAAAATGCTTTGTTTTTAACCCTTAAAACATTTTTTAGAAGCATTTGCAAAATCTTTTAAATGAAGAAACCTCATGTAGCAGAAAGATAAAAATGATTATACCTAAGCGGAGTTACAGACACACTAATCCTTCTACTCTTTTATCCAAGTGACCTTTGACTGCGACAAAGTAGCCTTTGACTTCATTCTTGACTTCATCAAATCAACAAGATCTTTGCCAAGGTAATTCAATAAGATCTTCATTACTTTCAAGCCCGACCCTCAGGCATTTTCAGGGCACATATTACCCTTTTAATCATACAAGAATATATTTCTTACTATCTGTTTCTTTTTTTACTATTCATGTCTGAGCCTCATTAATAACCACGCTTAAGCAAACGTTTCTAAAAGGCGTCTAAAAATCTGAAAGCGCACCGTCAGTAAAGAAACAAATTAAACCATCACTGATTGATTAGGAACACAAGTAAGGTTTTACCCCATCATAGTGAAACCGTGTTTTGCCAATGTTGGGAAAATAATAAGAAAGCCCATAAAAGCCAAAGGCCAAAAAGAAAGGGCATCTAACCTAGTAGGAAACCCACAAAAGGGCGCTACGCAAAAGTTAGGGTCAACCCGCTAGGAAACCCGACCAATAATTTAGGGTAGCCTAGGCAAAAGATAAGATTACAAAGCAGGGTCCATTAGAGTTTCTAAAGCATAATAAAAAGAAACCCCGACAAAATTTAGGACGAAACTCAACATCCTAGATTGAAAACCCGAAGGGCGGTCTAGGAAAGACAATCAGTCTTAATAAGCGCCGCAAAGCTCACCAAGTAAAGACGCAACCCCGCAAACAAACGTTTGTTTAAGCTAAGCCTAAACAGTTTGACTAACCCTGGCTAGCCATGCTTACAGATACCATTGGTTTCAAGAAATCCCCTCTAAAAACACAAACCTTTGATTTAATCATCCTCTTCCTTCTTTTCTCTTGACCCTTATCACTATGATATTCTAGCGATTAATCGGGTAATGTGGAAACATAGTAATCAATAGGAGGATTGAAATTCCAAAAAAAAAAGGAAGAAGCACACTAGTATGACGAAATAGCTCTTCAACACGATCATTCTTCGGTTAAGGAAAATCCAAAACGGCAGAAATGGTACAGCTGAAGGTAGCACCAGAAGAATCTCACCGTCAGGAGTACATCAGTTAACTTTTCTGAAAGTAATTAACTGAAATAGCATTATAAGTTGCATATCATGAACATTACATGCATAAATGTTGATGAACAAGGTCCTATTTCCGTCAAAAATAATAAATGAAAAAAAAAGGAGCAGATGGTCGTTCGTTTAAGGCGTTTGGCCGTCCAGAGGTGGCCGTTGGGACTAGATGGCCGTCCACTTTGAGCAGATGGCCGTCCAGAGGTTTCCGTTGGGGGCAAACAACCGTCCACCCTAGCCAAACGGTCGTCCATGGGCGACCGTTAGGGGCAGATGACCGTCCACTTAGAGCAGACGGCCGTCCGCCCCTGTTTTTTTTGCCTATAAATTTGGGCGCCCCAAATGGCTCATGACACCTCATTCTTGCATTCTCCCTTCCTCCTTGTCACCGCCGTCAAAACGAGGCGGTCGGAGCGACGCGATGGTTTCGACTTTCCAATTTTCGCATTTTTATGGGTGCGGTTACAACGCCTTTAGGTTGTCTGATAACCGGGCTGAACCTAGGGGCGAGGTTTTCGAAAAGGCGCTCTTGGATTGTCCGATAACTGGGCTAATCCAAGAACTAATTTTGAAGGGTTCTTAATGAGTCGCCACCGATGTTTTTACCGGAAACATCAGAAAAGGAGTAAAAAAGGCGTTGGTTTTCGAAAAACCAACTTTGGTCATTAGAACCAGAGTTGGGTAAGGGAGTTAGTTACGTGTAAGGGAAGTGTTAGTTCCCTTACGATGCCCCTGTCGGGTTCCCTATGATAGGCCAGCTATTTTAAATAATTAAACCGGTGAAAATACGCTTTTACCCTTTATTTGCGGAATTTAAAGTTATGACTACATGGCCCTAATATCTATTGCATAATTAAAATAAAACAATAAAAGAGAGAGGGAGAACGTAATGAAAGTGATGAAGATCTTATTGAAATACTTTGGCAAAGATCTCATTGATTTGATGAAGTCAAAGATGAAGTCAAAAGCAACTTTACAGTGGACAAAAGTCACTAAGATAGAAGAGTAGAAAAGTTAGTGTGTCCGCAGCTATGCTTAGGTATAATCATTTTATCTTTTCTGCTGCATGAGGTTTCTTCACTTAAAAGATTTTGCAAAATGCCTCTAAAAATGTTTTAAACAATTAAAAACAAAGTATTTTGACAAAAGCTTTCTTAAATAAGTTTTTAACTAATACAGTTTTGAAATAACCGATTAAAATCACTTAGAATGTTCGGAGAAGTGTATTTGCAGTATTTTAATCGATACAACTTGATTTTAATAGATTAAAACCACTTGGAGTTTAGGATGATCGATCAGAATACAATTATGACCGATCAGAATCAGATATGATCGATCAGAATTGAGTTATGACCGATCAGAACTTTTTTAATCGATTAAAACACGTTTCAATCGATTAAAACCACTTAAGGGTTCAGGTTGATCGATCAGAATGCAATTATGACCGATCAGAATCAGTTATGATCGATCAGAATTTGGTTATGACCGATCAGAACTCTTTTAATCGATTAAATCTCGTTTCAATCGATTAAAACAACTTAGAAATTTTCTACATAGCATTTTAATCGATTAAAGCTTATTTTTATCAGTTAAAATAACTTGAAAAGTTTTACAAGAAAGTTTTGCAGTATTTCAATCGATTGAATCGCGAAACAATCAATTAAATCAACTTAGAAGATTTTTTGGAAAGTGTTTTAATTGATATAAACGTTGTCGTATCAGTTAAAACAAATCTGTTAAAGAATCAAGAACGTATTAATGGATTAAAAGAAGTTTTAACAGATTAAAACTGCACTTTTAACAGATTAAAAGATTATTTTAACAGATTGATTAAACCAGCAGTTTTGAAAATCTTCAATAAAAACAGTTTGGCTTGAACTTTTTAAAAATACATTGAACATCAGTTTTTACACATCCTTGAGCAATCAATCAAGAAAACTTTAGCACTCTTTTCAAGAAAGATTCGCGTCAGTTTTTGAGAAGTTCTTTGAAAATCTTTCTTGAGGCAACTTGATTTCTTTTGAAGAAGAAACACTTACAGCAGAATTGCATAAACTGGTTTGAGCATTCTAGTTTCTTCTTTTTCATTTCTTTACATTCTTTTTGTATTGTTTGGTGCCTGGAATTTGGGCACTGGTTTCTCTGCAGCTAGAATTTGGTTGTAGAGGTTGTCAAGAACTGGAATTTGGTTCTTGGTGAAAGGTTAGGTGTTGGTGCCTGGAATTGTGGGCACTGGTTTCTCTGCAGCTGGAATTTGGTTGTAGAGGTTATCAAGAACTGGAATTTGGTTCTTGGTGAGAGGTTGAGTGCAGGAACTGGAATTTGGTTCTTGTGGTAGATTAAGTGTAAGATTGTAAATCTGTAAAACATTTGATCTAGTGGAACCCAGCTGGAATTTGGCTGGAGACTGGACGTAGCACTGGTATTGGGTGAACCAGTATAAAACACCGGTGATATCTTTCTTAACCTTTCTCTATTTTAATTCTGTCGCTGCATTTATATTGTTTGATTGCTTTGTAATTCAAGAACAGATCTGAAATCTTAATTTTTGAATTAGATAATCTGTAATTTGCGAAAAACTTTTAAAGATCAATTCACCCCCCTCTTGATCTCAGCCTACTTTTCTAACAATTGGTATCAGAACGAGGTTCTTGAGAGTTATTCAAGTTCTTCGATCCATGGCTGAAAACAGATTACCATTTTCTGAGGGAGCTTCTATTAACAGACCTCCACTGTTTTGTGAAACAAATTATCCTTTTTGGAAAATTAGGATGAAGATCTTTATTGAGTCTATTGATAGAAATGTTTGGGATGTAATTGCTAATGGCCCTTTAATTACGTAAAAAGAATGGTCCAATTTAAATGATGAGGAAAAGAAAAAAGTTCAAAATGATTGCACTCGCTAAAAATATAATTACTTCGCACTTAACATGGATGAGTTTTTCGGGGTCTCCCAATGCAAATCTGCCAAGGAGATGTGGGATGTTCTTGAGGTTACTCATGAAGGGACATCGGATGTAAAAAGAGCCGAGAAAGCATACTCTCATAAGAGAATATGAGCTGTTCAAAATGCAAACTGGTGAAAGCATTGCAGATGTGCAGAAGCGATTCACTCACATCATTAATCATCTAATGGGCCTAGGTAAGACCTTTGATAAAGAAGAATTAAATATTAAAGTCTTGAAGCGAGGTCTTGGCGACCAAATGTCACAACAATTTCGTAGTCAAAAGATCTTTCCGTAATGACAACAACTTCTCTGTTTGGCAAACTCGAGAGAACATGAAATGGAAATCAACGAGATTTAATGAACAAGAAGTCTCCGAGAAGAAAAGCGAAGTATAGCACTTAAAGTTGAAGAAAAAAATCAAGAATCGAGAGGAGGAAAGTGAGAACCTTGGACTGCTTGTCGGGAAATTCAACAAGTTTCTCAAGAAAAAGATTCAATACAAGGAAAAACATAAAAGGTATGAGAAAAAAGCTGATTCTTCTAACTTTAAATGCTATGGTTGTGGTAAGCGGGGCCATGTAAGGATGGAGTGCCCGAAAAGAACAAACATAATGACAAGAAAGAAGAGAAAGTCAAAAGAAGAGCCTATATAGCATGGGATGACAATGACTCTTCATCAACAGACAATTCTGATAATGAAGAAGCCAACTTATGTCTAATGGAAAGTCAAAATCCTCAATCCAGCAGTGTAAGTTCTAGTTCTTCTTCAAATTTAGTGAATTATGATTCATTACAAGAAGCATTTAATGAAATGCATGAAAAGGCTAAGAAACTACAAAAAGAAAATGATAGGCTAAAAGGACTAAATAATTGGTTAATAAATAAAGTAGACTCTCTTGAAAAAAGAATACTTGAAGATGAAACTGATTGTGATTTCTTAAAATTAATTCATGATAATTCTGATTGTGCATGTAATAAATCCTGTAATAACTGTTCAGAATTACAAAAGAAATTTGATTTTTTATCACAAACCGTTTCAAGATTTACACAAGGTCAAGCTAATCTTGACATTTTACTTGGGTCACAAAAACTAATTTTTGACAAATCTGGCATAGGATTTAAATCTAGGATGAAATTCCGAAAAACAAATGTAAATAGGAAATCATACTCTGTGATAAAATGTTTTTACTGCATGAAAAGAGGTCATTCAGTAAAATATTGTAGAATTAAAAAGTATGCTATTCCTAAAGGTAGAATGAAGTGGATTCCAAAAATTAATTCATTTCAAATAACCTAAGTGGACCCAGTAACTATAAAGGGTACCAGAAACATGCTAAATTTGTTTTGCAGGAACAAAATCTGGGAATCCCTTGGAGTTCAAAACAGCGAATCAGGTTTTTTTTTCATAAACTGATTGTTTTAATTGATATAAAACAGTATTAATCGATTAAAATAACTTACAGAGGATATCAGAAAATCTGTCCGTACCATTTTAATCGATTGAAATGTCGAATTAATCGATTGAAATGTTCTCAGGATTTGAGTTTTGCTGTTTTAATCGATTAAAAAGAATTTATATCAACTAAAAATACTAAGATGTAAAATTTAATCGATTCCTTTTCGTTTTAATCGATTTAAATTCTGTTATCATTTTATAAATTTCATCCTGTATAAGACTAATCGATTACTTTATGAATTAATCGATTATTTCACTGTATCATTTTCAAACCTAGTATTAAAGATCAACTTAATAGGTTAATTAGTTGGTTAATCGATTAATTTGTTTCTGAAAATTAGTTTCACAACATCCAATTAAAGATTGGTAAGCAAACCAAATTCAAAATCCCAAATTTTTATGGTATTCAAAATCTGCATAATTTTTTTTCTTTGATCGAGTCAAACATATTTCCAAGAACAAAATAGTTGATGTGCTCAACGTCCAGAAATTTGTGCCTCTGTCTTTGGTAAAGGGGACAATTGCAGTTAAAGCTGAAGCATTGCAGTTTTGTCTCTTTGAATTTCAAAAACTTGAAATCCGTTTCTTCATCAAACCAGGTTCTGAACTTATCATTTCTCAACTTATCATCTTTCTTCTGTTTTCATATTTTAAAAATCTCCTCTCAAATCTCTGCTGCAAACATGATCAGATGCAACAAAGAAATCCTTGGTTTCACTATAATATACATTAGAGAATTTAGTTTCTTTCAGTCATGAATAGCGGCAAGACAATCATGAAAAATGTCAAATGAGTTTCGGACATGTCTAAATTCGTGTAGTCTGTTATGGGGCGTGCCCATATCCAATTTCCTTTCAATGGCACAAATTCTCATGATTGGAAAGCGAAGGCTGAAAAAATCTTTGAATTGGAAACTAGACTAATGGCATAATGTGGGAAAGTTATTGTT